GTAGTGAGACCCTGTTTCAAAAACAAGAGGAAGAAATGCCGATTGAGCAGAGTGCCGACTATGGGTATGAGAGAAGGGACACGTTGTCGAATGAATTACAAAAAGGTGAGCATCACAGGATGTCAACTACTATGATGCAAGAGTCAGGGAAAGAAGCAGAAGCCACATAAACCCTTAAGACAGCGCTATGTTCCACTAATAGTATACCTAAAACATTTTCATCAAGCAGATTAAAAATCAAGAAAAAGCCGATGTTTGAACAACCAAGAAATTACATAATTACATTTGTGAAAAAAAATTATTTTTTGGCTGCCAAGTTACATTGGGTGAAGTGTTCAGACCTCCTCAAACTTGACACTTTTTCTACCTTGAAAGTCATGCGGTAAAGACAAGGACATAAGTGCTGGTATATTATACAGCCATTGCCTTGAGATTAAAGAGATGATACTGTGGAACCCTAACATAACTGAGGTATCTGCTGCCAGCTCCAGAAAGGTGCAGAGTTAGTATTGGGAGCAAAATGCGAATCATCTCTCAGAGTTCGTCCAGTTGGATTACACGACAAATGACCCTAGTTAACCAAAAACATGTCACTGAAGTCTTGATTCCAGCCTTTCAAGAATTCAATAAATTATCATCTAGATATCCACAAACAGCTGTTTATCTTGAAAACACCCAGTCACACTTTACATTTCAAGGATTTCTCAATGAAGTCTAGACTAATTGCATCCCTCTTTACTTCAAGAGAGACCAGATTGTCAGGCATGTTTGGAATTCTTGCTCTGAAGAGTTCAGATTTGCATGCCTGGATGATAGGATAATATTCTGTGTTTCCAGGGCCATGATGATGCATTTGTCTATTGTACTGAGAACGTAATGCACTATCAAGCTCAAAAGAATCAAGTGCTTAGAAGACAGGCTTAAGAAGGCCATTTTACTGAAAGGCCCACATTAGAGAGACTTTTATGCCTGAGTCTCGTAGGTGGTTGACATGAGAGCTTGGTAAGTCAAAGACTACTAGGATTGATGGCAACAAAAGTGATCTCACACAGCGTGATGAATAGTGATGGTGTGGTCGCCATCATAGTCAGGATGAAGATAATTTAACTTTTCTACAGTGATGTTACAGGTAGGAAAATAAGTTTTTCCATTTTGAGTCCAAAAGTAGACCTGTGACACTTAATCATCCCAGTTAGAAGTAAACTGGATTTGGCAACAATTTTAATGAATTCCAGCAGATATATAGCTTCATGACTAATTCTGAAGTCTCACAGAGCTTGGTAATAGTATGAACTATGGTGAGCTGATCATCTTAACATAGGGACTGTAACAGATCTACCACTTTTTGATGACCCCATCAAGCTGAAGCCTGAAGTTCCAGAAGCATTGATGACATAAAAATGAAGGATTTACACTTCAGTCTTAGTAAACACTGATCTAGTAGCAAATTGTTTCCAGATCCAAAATCTGCTAGTCCTCAGTTATCAGTACGATTTTCCTGAGGGAAGAATCTACATATTTTCTTTTAATTCCAGAAGATTCAGATTCCTGAGTACCCTTCTCTGGACTTATTTTGGAACAAAAATATGGGTAAACCTCTGTCCAATACTCCTTAGAGCAAAGTCTCCATTTGGCCAATAAAGCTTAAGTCTTTTTATTATATACTTCATTCCAAAAGTCTAGAACTCAAATATCAGCTGTGATTATTCCAGACATGCATTTTTTTTTTTTTTTTTGAGATGACCCCAACCTGGGGAAGCATAGTAAAATAGGATCGTGGAAGGCTAATCTGCTAAGCATCCGCATTATTAATTTTTATACCCATGTCGCTCTGGAGACTCTCCCTTTTTTCTGTATCTATAAGGGTGATTCCGGGGTTTGTACCAATCCCCTTTGGAGTACCCTCTGTTGTGATAATGTGGTTTCTGCTCATGACTATAAAAGTATCGATGCTGAGTATAGTATTTATTGTGTTCTTTATATTCATTTTCTTTAATACTATTGTCTTCTGCAACAATAGCATTCACATCTTGTCCAAAAAGAGATGTACCATCAAAGGGTAAGTGTAAGATCTTCTCCTGGGTTTTCTTAGTCAGAGATGTGAGTCGAAGCCAGGCTTGTCTTCTATAGTCTACTGCCATGGCCATAACTCTGACTACAGAGTCCATTATGTCCCTGGTGGTACAAAGCTGCCAAAGCCCTGCATCCATGCCATCAGATATTATACACCTTGCTTTCCCACGATCAAACTCCGGATCATGAACCAGATCTTCCATGTCTTCCCAGAGTTTACGCTGATACTGAGTCATGTAGGCCATATAGCTGGCAGCTCGGGCTGCAATGGAAGCAGCATGGTAGAACCTACAACCCATGACCTCCATTTCTTTTGAGGTAGAGTCTAAAGGAGATGTCGCGTTCCCTCTTTTGCTGTGTTCTAGTACATCTATAATGGGTCCCTCAGCTGGAGGATTTGGCTGGAAAGGAGATGTGTCCTTGGCCACAGGATATACCCTGTGTCCCATGAAGGAAGAAGGATGGCAATCAGCAGGGTCTTTAAAAACTTCAGTGGTGGCAATTCTCAAAAGTGGATGCAACGGAGGCACCAAGCGTTTTTTAGAGGTCATCCAATCAGGCTTCCCCTCGCACGTTTCAGCTTCAGACTGTAATGTCACCCTCTTTATAACACCTCTTTGTTCCATTCTCTTCAAAAGACCCGTGAAACTAGACTGCGTGGGGTCAGCTGGCTGCCCCTTGTCATCAGCTGATGGAGATTTGCAATCACCCTCGTCTTCAACTGTGGATAAACTGTCCTCCTTAGAGGTGGACATATCCCAAGGGACCGACGAGTTCTCACTTGGCCTAGAATGATGAAATCTAAAACAACTCCTGGATTGCAGATCACGAATGACTCGGGACATCTCAGCCACTTGTGTCTGGAGATACAGGATGGCATCCTGTCCATTCTGTGAAGCTGAAGACATCGTGATAGGTAAATCTTCTTTGACCTCAGAAAAAGTCAAAGACTCTTGGGGTACCAGAAGTGATGATGAAGGCAGAGTCTGACAATTTTGTGATTTAGGTGTCTCTGTTTCAGAGAGATTAAGCTCTGAATTATTTTGATCATTTTTCTGGTTCTCCAACTGGTTCTCAACAGAAGAAGGTTGAGAAACTATTCTTTGTGGACTGTTGGCACAACTCCCAGAGGAGGAGCTGCTGTCTCCAATGGGAAGAGGAACACTGCAGCTAGGGCACATTTCTGGGCGATGATTCTCAGAGGGTGGCACCTTAGATTCAGGCATTCTCTGGGTTATCCACATGAACAAGAAAACCAAGGAAGAAAAAAAATATGCTTTTAATATGTTAACTTGCAAGTGCAGAGATGCATGTCCAGTAAGTAGAATTCAAATTTTAAATTACTATAAATAAGAATGACAAAAATAATCCACTATAGGTCAGCAAAAGATAACAGAAGCCAAATGCACAGAACTTATTACCCTCAACCCCATAAAAACTATAAGCATTAATGCTGAACATAAAAAAAAAAACCTCATGATTATAAACAAAATCATCTTGGAGTTGGGGAGATGCTTCGATATGTAAAGTGCTTGTCACACAAAAATGAGGACCTGAGTTTAGATCCCCAGTACCCACATAAAGGCAAGGCACACAACTGGACATCTGTAATTCTAGCATTAGGGAGATGGACACAGGCAAACTCCAAATCCACTGGCCACACAACCTAGGCAATCAGTGAGCTCCAGGTTCAACGAGAACTCCTCAAAAATAAAGTAACACAAGCAGGGTAGAAAGTGACTGAAGAGTCCCGACGCTAGCCTCTGCAGAGCCTTCACGCGCACACGTGTGCACCTCTACTTGCACATACATTTACACACACCCATACAAGCATGCACACACTCATGTGCCACACAAATAAAATAAATTTCAGTCCAAAGCAGTGCTTTTCTACTCTGCCGCTTGATCCTAGGCTGAGATGAGATGCTGTGGTGAGGTCACTTTTAATAAAAACTAATAAAAGAAAAAAAAAATCTGTTCAATATATAAAAGGCAGAGCTACTGGATGATAATAATGACAAAGGAAACTTGAATAATGCCCTCCTGAAACTGGAAAAATAACAATCTTTTAAAACTCTCTCAAGTGGAGCCATTTTAACTCTCCTTAAGAACTGTTATTAACTCCCCACGATTAACCTTCCAGTTGTGTATTTCTGCTTTACAGTTTGTAGTTTTAAGGAGCTTACATATTTGGTACTTCATTTCATCCCCACAACAACCCTGTGAGGTAGGACTTGTTCTCATTTGAATTGAAAAACAAAATAAAGCAACACAATGCTAGGGCTAAAACCAAGTGAGAAACCTCAAACTGAGCAGTTCTGACCACAGATCCAAGTCTCAAGTTCCTGCCTCGTACAACAAGGTCCTGGCCACCTAAGTGAGCAAGAGCCAGGAATTCTTTAATCCATCAAGAAAAGCTCATTAACCGAAATTTGGGCTAATTCAGTGACAGATGGAAGCCAACATTGCCATGAAGGGTTCAAGCAATTCAACTCTCAGAGTAAGGCGTTGGTTTAAAGGTCAACCCTACAAGTAGCAAGTCACATGTACAGTTCATGCGGAAGAGAAAAGATAAATTTCCTGTGGCCACATAGTTCAAAAAGTAAAGAATTCAGCTGTATAGGTGCCAGAAAGGAGGGAGGTGAGGGTAAGAAAAAAGCTTGTGGTTTCTAATTATATTTCCGTTTATCAGTTACTACTCTCCAGTATTAAGTTTCCTGCAAATTTAAGGAAGAGCTCACAGAAGCAAATGACTCCTTGAACTACCAAGGCTAGCCCATCCTTAGAAATGAGCATTTTCTAGAGCACTGATGCTCTTAAACACAGCTATTATTGCTTTCCTCACTCTTCAGAAATAAACAAAACAAAACAAAAACACTCGTAACTGACACAAGGGAAAAAGTTTGAGTCAAATGTAATGTACTTACATCACTATGAGAGGTGCTAGGCTCTTCATCATCACTGCTGACCAGATCAATATATTCAAGAACAGGTCTTAATGGTCCTTCCTATAAAAGGAATTGAGGAAATTCATATCATGAACATCATTTAAACCAAACCAGCATTTTAAACAATGTTCTTTGTTGGGATTAGATCTGAGAAGGCAGACACACAAGTAGCAGAAAAAAACAATAAACAAAAGTATACTATTCAGAGTATATTTTTTTATTTAAAGTGACTGAGCAGGGCATGATGGTACATGTCTACAGAGCTAATCAGTTTAAAAGCAGGGGCAGGAGAACTATGAACTCAAGAACAGCTGGGCTATTGCACAGCAAGGTCCAGACCACCCTGGCCTATAAAGTGAGACAGTATCTTCGGAAAGGGAAGGGGAGGGGAGGAGAGGACGGGGAGGGGAAGGGGAAGGGAAGAAAAGGGGAAGGAAGACACCTAGAAGTTAGAGCCTAAACCCCCGGAGACATAGCCCAGTACATTTCAGCTAGAATGAGTATTAACAGTTTAAGATACCCAAGTTTGTGAACACCAGAGTATATAGCACAAAACATGGAGCTCTTTGACCAATGACTTAGCTTCATTTCTCCAAATTTATGAGAATAAAACATCAAACCCAGATGCTTCTCCAATCTTCTTCCTATTCTTATGTCAGACTTAAAAGCCCAGATCTCAATTCTATATGCAAAAAAGAATTAATAAAATAACATTACACTAGGAATAACATAATATAGGAATACTACAGAAGAATATAAAAACTGAAAAAGTAAGTTAACTACTGAGTGTAGACATATAATAAAATACAACTAATATTAGTGATGGTAAAAAGACTGAAATATCCTTAAGATAATCTGGGCACAATGGAAAAAAAAAAAAAAAAAAAAAAAAAAAAAAAGATGAGAAAATTCAGCTCTTATCCCAAAGAGCCAAAACCAACCAAACAAAAACCAAAATCATGGGATCAAAGAAGAGCAAGTGACTAGAATACACTACTGCCAGCACTGTAGATGTGCAGAGACAAAGGTTCCTGGCCAGCAGCTGGACATGCAGGCCTGTAATAAAGGTGTATAAACATTTGGGAGTGAGATTGGGAGTTGCCCACCCCTACCTCAATAAGACTACTAAACTCTCAACTAAACCAAAATGATTATAGACCAATGAAAAGTCATCAGTGCTTCACGTGGGCACAAACACATACACAGTATGTACACAGTAGTACATAATATATACTATGTAGTCTTTTTGCTTTTTCGTTCTTGTTTTTCAAGACAGGGTTTCTCTGTATTGCTTTGGAGCCTATCCTGGAACTCGCTCTGTAGATCAGGCTGGCCTCGAACTCACTGAGATCCGCCTGCCTCTGGCTCCAGAGTGCTGGGATTAAAGGCGTGCACCACCACCGCCTAGCTACTATGTAATCTTACCAAGTAGTTCAATAGTCTATAGTCTTACTACGTAATCTTATCAAGTATAGTCAATAACCATATAATAAAAGGCAAAGAAAGCAATAGAAAAACAACAACAACAAAAAATCTAAAATCTAAGGTATGACTGGTATATGCCTATTTTTTTCAGCACTGGAGGTTAGCGCAGAAGTTTGAGGCTAGGCTGGGCTATGAGGTGAGAACTTGTCTCAAAATTTTAAAATCTAATACACTAGAATAAAAAAGGGGGAGAGGGTAGATAGGAGAAAAACACAACCGATGTTAAGGGTTCCTAGAGCGAAGAAAGCTGCTTGTTGTAGATACAAGATCATCTACTTCCAGATCATCATCTGTTTTTCTCTTAGGTTTTAGTAAACCATAAATTACCATCCTTCTGGATAGTGATGCAGACATCAAGATAAACCAGTGAGCAAAACTTCAAGGCCATGAAATATAATAAAGGAACTGGAATTTTTGGTCAAGCTGTTAAGATGAACATCCAGGAGATGGAAAAAGGGGGGAACATAGCACAAATCACTTGTCAACAGAGCTGTACCATCTACTTTAAGACTAAAGCCTACCCTTGGTATTGACACTGTTCGATCAGTCTATCATATATGTTCTATTTTCAAGATGGAAAGGTATCAGTTTTCACCATTCATATTATCACCATTGTTTGGATCCTTCAAGCAATGATATTTAGGAACTTACTAAATGTATTATTATCCTCCACTTTCTGGCTTATTTGTTTTTGGTATAGGGTATATGTAGCCTAGGCTGGCCTGGAACTTCTTTATGCAGCCCATTCTGAAGCCCACAGGCCTTCTTAACCTCCCAAGTACAGGGATCACATGCATTATGGCTGTGTGTCATCAGGCCTGGCTTTTAAGAACTTAATACTGTACACAGAAACAGTCAAGAAAGTTTCCAGGTATCCAGAGGGATGGGCAGAATTTCCATAAACTGAGTAATGAAAAAGGGTTAGTCTTGGCACATATCTACAACCCCAGCATGGAGAGGAAGGAGAGTTAGTTCTAGTCTAGTCAGGTTAGACCACGTAGGCAACTGCAGGTCAGCTGGACACCACAGAATTATCTCAAGAAAACAAAAATAAGCTGGGCAGGTACAGTACAGGCCTGTAATACAGGACAACTGCTACAAGCTCAAGGCCAGGACTAAAGAATAGCATTCAAGGGACTGGTGGTGGAGAGCTTAGCATGCACAAGGTCGTGGAGTTCAACCCCTGGTGTTAGGGAAAATAAAAACACTTAAGTCAGGTGTGGAAATATCCATCTAAACTCCCGGCATTCAGGAGGCAGAGGTAAGAGGGTTATTAAGTAGCCAAAACAAGCCCAAGGAAAATGCTGGCTCAAACATAAAAAAATTAACAATTCTTAAAATGTTCTGAAGATATGGCCAAAAATAAGAACAGGCAAGATAAAGGAAGACTACCAGAACTTTGCTACCAAACCATTTCAATGATAGGCAACTGTTGTGGAACTATAAAAGGTAATTTCATGTATTTGTGGTAATTAAGACAAAAAATGAAAAAATAACCAGGACATATAAAACAGAGGGGGAAAGTTTACTCATGCAACGAACAATTACTGATTCACAAGCAATAGAAGGTGACAGGGACAACAAAGTGATGATGAATTTTGACTCTTACTTGACAGAACTGAGAAGACCCGGCCCCACCCTGAGCAGCAGCAGCACCCTGTAGCTGGTAAAAGGGCGCAGAGTTTCTGCTTCCTGCCTGTGGACACATGACCAGCGGCTTCTCTATCTCTGTTTTCTTCTCTACTGTGCACTGAGTCAAAATAAACCCTTCACTGCAGAAGTTGCATGTCAAGTATTTGATCACAGCAGCAATGCGGAAAGACTAATACAAAGACATTAGAGACTGGAAGGAAAGTAATTATAACACGCCAAAGAAAGGTTCTTATAAATAAGTAGAGTACACTTTGAACTAATTTTCACTGTAGATACAGGATAATTAGCAGTAATCCTCCTGCCTCAGCTTCCTGAGTGCTGTGATTCCATGTGTTTACCATCACACTCTGGCTTGTCTTGAGATAGGATCTCACTCCCTACAGTGCCCAGGCTGACCCTCAATCTTCCCAATGCTTGGATTTCAGGCACTCACCAAGACCAATTTCCTTCTTATCTTTACTTAAGACTGTTTTCCATACTGAATTTGAGGAATTCAAACATTTAGTATTCCAGTTATTCTACTCCTAATTAATAAAATGTATTGAGCTCCATACCAGGCTCTGTGCTAAGCTTTCCAAATTATACCACCCAATTTCCATAACTGCTTTACAGAGATTCTAATTACTGAAATCACCCTATTATGGAGATAAAACTGAGTGACATACACACAACTGGTGTGTGGTTACTATTAATTCAGAGATACTTTAAAGTACAAATCAAATTTTAAAATATTGCTGCTTATTACCTAAGTTTCCAAGTTAACATCTTCCTTCATCCAGTAAAAAACAAAAAACCACTACTGCCTGTATATTTCATAATGATGCCCAATCAAATAAGTTACTAATTCCCCAAGAAGCAATGTTCATAATACAAGTATGAAGAAAAAGATAATCTCCTACAATATTTATAATGACTACCCATTCCTGTATTAAGTACAAAATACAAAAGCATGTGATCCTTCAATTGTAAGGTTTTGTTTTTGGGTTTTTTTTTTTTTTTTTGGTTTTTCAAGACAGGGTTTCTCTGTGGCTTTGGAGCCTGTCCTGGAACTAGCTCTTCTAGACCAGGCTGGTCTCGAACTCACAGAGATCTGCCTGCCTCTGTCTTCCAAATGCTGGAAATTATTATAAGGTATTTTATCTGACCTTATACTACCAATTAGTAATAGTCTTTATCTCCTCTTCTACCAATACAAAACACAGGATTCAACTCAAAATGCCATTACAGTTTAGCAGCAGAGGCTCATGAAGAATATATCAGAACACAGAAGAGTATTGTTTTAAAATATATTGCCATAAACTATTTGTATTCCTTTAATTAAATACCAACTGTCAAAATGAAAACCACCAATTTTTCTATTTAGAAAGAGATGTTAGATCCACAACTGTTTTACTTCAAAGAAAGCAAAGTTAGGGTCATACCTTATTTCTGCAGTACTGTATTTAACATTTTCAAATGGTTTCCACCTGCCTACTTTTTGTCCCTCACTCAAGATCTGTCATATGGCCCATCTTTCTCCTACCCTAAAAACTAAAGAAAATATAAAAGCACCTATCTCCAGAATTACACATAATTCTGTTCTTTCATACCTTTCCTTTCTTTTCTATTCAAAGTGCCTTTTTAAATATTCAAATATCTGGGGACATAGCACTCAATTAGCAAGCAGAAATCCTAAAGTCAATCCTTACCACCCACCCATACATACCCACCCTCCAACCCACACACAGTCACCCCCACAATCAATACAAATCACCAACCACTATTTATAGAAAAATAATACACTATCAAGTCTTATGCCTTTTCTGTACGTGTGTTTTATGTGATGCCCCTACAGGCATGCGCATGTGAGAGGGAACCTCCGTGCTCTCACCTTCCACTCTGCTGAGGCAGGGACCCTCGTTTCTGCTCTTGTTGTCAGGTTCCCCGACTCTAGCTGGCTGTGAACTTGGGATTACAGATGCTCAACTGCCATCACATTTGTTTATTTTAATTTATTATCTGTAATGGGGGTTCCAAGGATAGAATTCAAGTCAAGTGCTTTTACTCACTAAGCCATTTCCTTGGACTCCTTGTGTCTTGTCTTTTAAGTATTCTGTGCTTTTTATACAGGAATTTTCTATTGGGGCCATTTTCTTCTATCATTTCTGCACTAAAACACTGACAATCAAGGATAAGGCTATATTTCAATCAAATGTATAGGTCTAACATCAAGGACATACAACTTTGCATATTCTAAGCCTTGATACTGTTTTGCTTAATGAGTGATTCATTAGGTAGTCTAAGCAACCTAGTCAAAAGATGCTTTTGTCAACTAGAAAGATGGCTCAGTAGTTAAGTTCATACTGCTTTTCCAGGGGACCCGGGTTCAGTTCTCAGCCACCATGTGATAACTCAATACCACCTGTAACTCCAGCTCCAGGAGAGCAGACACTTTCTGGTCTCTGTACCTACCCCCATGACAAGCAGTTAGACACACACAGTGGTTTTAAATCCATCATTTTAAAATAATGTTTTCTGCATGCATTCTTCCTACTTCAGAAAGAAGTATTTTAATATTCAGTCTGGGTGCTCAGGTTTATGTTTTGAAATTCTGAATATCTTCATAATTATCTTGTTCTGACGATTATAATAGATTCCTAGCAGTTTGCATGCCTTTATATCTAAGGTGGTACTGTGAACAATCCTGTAAGCAATTACTAAGCTCACAGTTTTTTTCTTTTGGAAGTAAAAAAGTTATAAAAGAAATCCCATTTCAAAAGAAAATATTAATTACAAGTTGAATAAAGGACCGTATTGCTAAACAGAAAATGTAATTAACTGACAGGCAGAAACAAAAAGTTCTTACCAATGTTATTCTCTTTCTTGATTTAGGCACTGTCCTAATTTGCTTTCCTGTTGCTGTGATATTCAAAGTCACAGCCCAGCTCTGAGGGAAGTCAGGCAGGAACCTCAAAGCAGGAACTGAGAAGGTATGCTCTTATTGATGCTTGCTCAAGAGCGTTAGCCCTCCCCACAACCCCATGCACAGCTAGCTTTTATATCCAGCAAATAACCACCTGCCTAGAAACATACTACTCAGAATAGGCTGGGTCTCTATCAATCAAACATCAAGAGAATGCCACACAGTCATGCCCACAGGCCAGTCTAATCTAGGCAACTCTCAACTGAGGCTCCTTCTTCCCATGTGACTAGTTTATGTCAAGTTGACAATAAAAACTTACCAGTACAAGTGCCACTTGTAAAATTGTATTGAGTTGAAAGGACTGGAGAGATGGCTCAGCACTTAAGGGCACTTGTTGCTCTTGCAGAGGACCCAGACTGCATTTCCAACGACCATGTGGTGGTTCACATCTGGACCCCAGCAACCACACCATGGCTCACAACCATCCACAACTCTAGTTCTCAGGAGATCAGAGGACCTCTTCTGATCTCTGTGGGCACCAGGTATGAAAGTGCTGCTGTACATGCATTCAGGCAACCAGTCATACACATAAAATAATTTTTTAAAAAGACTGTTAAATTTATTACCTTTGCAAATATCAAAGAGCACCTATGAAAAATGTACTTCCCTGAATATTCCAAGAGAAGTTCAACAAAAGGATTCATTTTCACATCTCCAGATTTATATTACTCCTTTCTTTCCCCATGCTATTTGTGGCTTAGTCTACATCTGAGAGACACAGAGGGTCTCCTGTCCAATGGTAGTTTACTCTTGTGTAACTTTGTCATACATGATTTTGTTATAAATTACAAGCTAGCTGGGCGGTGGTGGTGCACGCCTTTAGTCCCAGCACTTGGGAGGCAGAAGCAGGTGGATCTCTGTGAGTTAAAGGCTAGCCTTGTCTACAGAGTGAGTGCCAGGATAGGCTCCACAGCTACACAGAGAAACCCAGTCTCAAAAAACCTAAATAAATAAATAATAAGTAAATAAAATGCAAGCTAATAATCAAAACCAAGTAAATCAATAAGTTATATTACAATGTAGTTTATACTGAGAAACTTAAGACAGAAACCTGGTTTTCATCTTTACTAGTTAAGAGCTACCAGAGAAATAGAATTGTGTCACAAAGAGCACAATATTCTTTCTGTTCCTGGATACTTTCATGCTTCACTAGCACACAGCAAGTCTAGAACTTCCTAAGTAAGCGGCTCAGTCAGTACTCCAACTCAGGCTCTTCCCCTGTGACCTTCCCAGTGCAGGGTTCCAAATGTATCTTAAAATAAGCCATCACTAATCATCACTTAAATGATAGCACTTACATGCTCAGACAAAGAGCTATACATTATACTTTATTCTTGATGCAAAGACAGAAGTAGCTTTGTACGTTTAAAATAAAATTTAAATACTACTTTTAAAATTCATATCAACAAACACCTGAATTAACTAGTTACAAGCTATAATGGTATTTTATTTCACAAGATATAAAATAAAACAATTTACCTCCCCCATCCCCACAAGATAGGTTTCTTTGTGTAGCCCTGGCTGTCCTGTAACTCACTTTGTAGATCAGTGTCCTCAAACTCAGAGATCCACCTGCCTCTACCTCCCAGAGGGCTGGGATTAAAGGCATGCGTCACCACACCCAGCTACAATGAACTTTTTGAACCTTACTCTTTATATAGTCTATCAATTCCTCAAAAGGGGATGTATTATAATGAAGACTTACTCCTTTTACTCTTACATGAAGCATCAAGGTAAATATTCTGCTCACAAGTACCCTGTAATTCAGGAAGAATCTGGAATACTTGTCCTATAGAGTCATAAAATCCTTTATCACAACACATTGACTTTGGAGTGGTAGTATTCATTACCAACATTCTCCTTTCTCCAAAATACTTCAGTCTGCTAGGAAAAAAGGAACAAGACACCGTGTATCTGGAAACATCACTTCAGATCCTCAAAGTTGAAAATGAAAAGGACAGAGTGCAATGTGCAACAGAAAAACTATCAAGAACATAATTTTATGAGGACTTCCCTCAAAACAACCCCACTAAAACACCATACACAATAGACTGCCACAATGGTTCAATGTTGGGTAGGATATTCTTTATGGATCACTATTTTATAGTTAGCTAAAACTTCCATATACAGATCAGGTGAACGACAAAGAACTATACAGCTTTTATAACAGGCTGTAGCTAACTACAGCATTTCAGGAGAGCTGTAAAGAGCTGTAAGGGCAGGGATATTCTCTGGCTAGCTACTACTTTAGGAAGAGCCAACAAACTTAACCACTACAGGTGAAAATCCAAAGCATTCCTTCCCCTTAATCTTCACTTTATGAAGTGTTCAGAGATCCAAATGTCCCAAGTTGTATTCCAAAATGACAATACCTAGGTTCCGCCCTGAATTCCTGATTCAACAGATCTGGAGTGGACCCAGGAATCTGCCTGCTCACACTTAATGCTGGAAAACTACTGTCCCCAAAGGAATAAACTTAGAAACACATAGCAATGTTCCAGGTGGTGCAGAGTTCCTCATTGTGACCAGCAATTGTACTGTGCTGTAACAAGATGACCTCACAAGTTAGGGACATCCTGAAGCTATCTTAGAAGATATATCACAGTAAGATTCTGGGCTCTTTTTGGTTTTGTTTTCGAGACAGGGTTTCCTCTGTGTAGCTTTGGAGCCTGTCCTGGAACTAGCTCTTCTAGACCAGGCTGGTCTCGAACTCGCAGAGATCCGCCTGCCTCGGCCTCCGGAGGGCTGGGATTAAAGGCCAGATGATGGGCTCTTAATAGCCCTTTCCTATCACCTTCACATTAGCTAGTCCTGTGTGTCTACGTTTGGAATGCATTCTTGCCTCATTTCGAAACAAAAAAAAAAAAAAAAAAAACAAAAAGCAGTCTTAAGAGACCAGACTTTTGTCCCAAGTACAAAATGGACAGACTTAAGATCTGGGAGGGGCCATTATGTGCATAACAATCCTTTAGGCCACACACTTTGTGATGCCAGCTGTAGTTGTTCCGGTATCCCTTCAGGTAAGCAAGCATCCAGGCATCTCTTCCTTGTGTGGCTGCTTTTCGACATTCCTGACTATCTGTTGAGTGATGAATGCATGGTGAGGTTTAATCACACACCGGCTTACCACACTCTTTTTCGGTCCAGAAAACCGTGATTGCCAGCCTCTACTTACACTAACAAACTGAATGTCATCTTCATTTTCATCCGTTGTTGACTCAGATGCCTCAGGCCCAGCTGGTGGGACAGATTCTATTATCTATAAACAAAAGCCAAAACACACGTATCTATTCAGTCACACACTCGAAGGAAGAAATTTCTTTCTTTCTTTCTTCCTTTTTTTTTTTTTTTTTTGTTTTGCTTTGTTTTGTTTTGTTTTTTGTCCCCCCCCCCCCCCGCCGAAAAAAAAAAAAAACCGAGTTAAGACAAAAGCCCCGGAGGGGACGGCGCGATCACGCACAGAAGATCCGGCTCTCACACTGCATGGAGGCGGGTTCTGCTAGGGCGTCTCGGAGCTGCGGCGGAGAGACCTAGCCTTCTTCCCCGGCGAGTTGCCTGCCACACACAGCCCCCCTCCCCGCCTCCTCCAGGCGTGGGGATGCAGGCTCTAAAGCTCCGGGATCGGGGACGCAGGCTTGAAAAGCGAGGCCAGCCTGCCCTCCCCAGCCGTGCCTCACCCTCGGGGCTGCGGCTGCCGCCGCTAAGGGCGGCCGGGGGCTGGGGGCGGCCGGCCCGCCATTGTTGCGGGCTCGGCGCCGACGTGCACCAGGCCCGGAGGCCCAGCACTCGCCGCAGGCCGCGGCCCAACCGAGGCCCCCGCGGCCTGGAAGACAAACCCTTCGGGGGAGGGGGGATCGGGCTCGCCCGGGCCGCCGCCACTCGCTCACCTCCGGCCCCGGGTCTCCCATCTCTCCCACGGCCCGTCAGCACCACGCTCCCGCCGCCGCCGCTGCTGTCCCCGCCGCCGCCGCCGCCACGACTTCCCTCTCGCCCTGCGCCGCGCGACCCGCCCTGCGTGAGCGCCCACGCAGATGACGCCTCGGGCCGCGGGGACGCCGAGCCGCTAGACCCCACCGCCGCGCCGCTTCCAGCGCCGCTTTGTACGCTCCCCGCCTTCCCCCTCCTGCCCCGCGGAGGATCCTGGGAGTTGTAGTTCGCGCCGGCCTCGAGGCCGCCGACCGCGTGGCAAGGGGAAGCAGGCGAGGACCTGGGAGCCCGGCGCTCGCCTGCAGCTCCGGGAGGAGGAGGAGGCGGCGGCGGCGGCGAGGGGCTCGACAGAGTTTTGGCCCCGCGTAAAATCTCGTTCTGCTGCCGCCTTTTACTTGGGAGACACTGGCCCGGGGCGGGGGAGGCGGGGGGGAAGGGGGATGTCCACGACAACAAGCGGGAGAGATGGAAAAATGGAGGAATTTTTTTTCCCCCTTTTACATCTTGGCAAGGGTGGCAGGTGCAGAAGCTTGTGTGGCGTTTCTGAGAGGTCGTTAATTCATGCAGTAGGCTCCCAAAGTGACTTCCTTGTTCACGGGTCTCCAGAAGGCCGATGATTCCTGTAAACCTGAAGAAGCATCACTGATTAGGTTCCATGGGGCTGCCAGTGGTCTTTCATGCTTCTCTCTTAAATCTCCTCAGGCTAGGCTGAGCTGGACACGGAAGTATGGGCAAAAGAGGACCCGTGGAAAACAGACCTGGTGATGTCAGTTAACCCGTCCAGACCTTTATTGATAATACTGCCATAAAAGCAAGACTCAGTGGTCTTTGTTTTGGGCCGCAGGGATGGTGACTGCAAATGGTTTGTTGCTGCCTTTTTTCTCTTTTCCTTTTTTTGGGTTGAGGTGTGGAGTGGATAGGTTGAGGCGAAGTCCAAGATGCAATGCACTTACTTGGACTTTCGGCAATATGCTTAACCCCTTGCCTAGCTAGTATCTACACCCCCCCCCACACACACACACACAGGAATATATTCCCAGTAATGGAAAAAATAGAATCTTATAAGGGAAGAAGTACCCAGAAATCTTTTTTCTTTTATAACTTTTTCAGGTTGAAAAAGAATACAGGCCCTCCTTATGGGTCCAGTGTCCTTGCTTTGTATGTTGAAGAAACCAAAGCTGGTTAAGGATGGCAGCCTGTTGGTTGAAATATCAGATTTATTTGTTGACTGTGGAACCTCACTGTGGTTCAGGTAGCCCACCAAACTTTCCTTCGTACTACTGCAAATGTATTATAAATTTTAGAATAGGTAGCAATGTCCCCTGAGGGACATTCTTTTGGTATCTCAAAACTTAAATATAATAACCACTGATAATCTCTTAAATGATGTTACATTACATGATAAAGAAACCGAGGAAGGAAAACACAAATCTGTACAAACACATTCTCAACAAAACAAGACAGAAACCCTCAAGTCTGCAGCTGGCCACATGACCTGCACCTGGTCATATGACCTTAGGTGGTATTTTTAACTACCTGCCTCTACTACCCATTCTGTATTCCTCCAACCTCAGCAATTCGTCAGCAGGTCCTGGCTCTTTTCCTGAAGCAATGCTTGGATTAAGTTGTTGTAGCTTCCCATAGACTTTAATCACAGGACACTATAGCACTAAGAGATGCCCTAAAGGATGGATCTCTTCCACTCCAGACATTATCCTTCTTACCTCCGTGGTGGAGAAGCAATCCAATTCCCCCATGATAATCTGGATCAATCACCCCTCCTAACACTGTTATTCCTTTCTTCACTTATTGGCTTAAGAGCATCAGAAACCCAAAGTGGTGGCCAGGGGGACTGAGCTTCCTATTCATGAATGTTTGTTGTCTCCTGGCAGGTACACTCCCCACTCCGGAACTGAAAGTTGTAGGCCACCAAAACTTAAGGTGGCAGGATGGAAAGCAAAAATGTTAGTAGTGGATCACTAGGGATGAAAATGAGTGGAACTATTCCCTTTTCCACCCCTCAATTCCTGGACCCATGGACCATAGCTATGGAGAAACTACACCATATATTGGACACTGATTCAAGCATATACTGTCTTCTGGAGAACCCAGCCCCAGCCATATGGGTTGCTGCCACCTAATTGGCACAGTAACTCTGTCTTCAAAAGGCCATTATGTCTTTCTATCAGGCCTGCTGTTTCAGGATGGTGAAGGACATTGTGGACCAGTGAATTTCCTAATCATGACCCATTTTCACACTTTTCTGGCTGTGAAGTGAGTCCGTTAGTCAGAAGCAATACTGTATGTACTATCATGAAGGTGGATAAGGCATCTGTCTGAGTTCACAGATGGTGGTTTTGGCAGAAGCATTATGTGCAGGAAAAGCAAATCCATGACCAGAATAAGTATTTATTCTAGTAAGGGACAAAGTGGTGTCCTTTCCACGGAGGAAGTGGACCAATATAGTCAACCTGCTATCATATCAATGGCTGATCATCTTAGGGAATGGCGTTAGTGTTTATGTCTTTATTGGGGAATTGAGACCATTACTATTGAGAGCAATTGTTTAACAATCAATTACAGTATGGTGGTTTGATTGAAAATGGCTCCCATAGGTTCATAGGGCATGGCACTAGTAGGATGTGTGGCCTTGTTGGACTAGGCATGGCCTTGCTGGGGGAAATGTGTCACTAGGGGTGGTGAGCTTTGATGTTTCAAATGCCCGAGCCAGACCCAGTGCCATTCTCTCTTCCTGCTGCCCGAGAATCTGGATGTAGAACTTTAATCTACTTCTCCAGCACCATGTCTGCTGGTATACCACCATGCTTCCCCCCCATCATGCTAATGGTCTAAACCTCTGAAAGTGTAAGCCAGCACCCATGAAATGCTCTCCTTATAAGGGTTTCCGTGGCCATGGTGTCTCTTCGCACCAACAGAAAAGTAACTAAGACAAACAGGAATTTTCTTAGGATGTATACTGTTGTGAAGAGACACTATACAACGTATAAAAGGATGCATTTGATTGGGAGCTTGCTTAACCGTTTCAGAGGATGGATGAGTCCATGAGCATCATAGCAGAGAGCAAGCATGGCAACAGGTAGGCAGGCATGGCCCTGAACTAATAGCTGAGATCTTACACATCTCACCAACACCAAGAGGCAAAGAGAAAACTGGAATGGCATGGGTGTTTCAGGCTTTAAAACTCACCCCCAGTGCACACGTCCTCCATCAAGATCTGTCTGAGGGTGGGCTGACAGGTTGCCTTTTGGTCCCTTGGTAGTGTGGTAGGTGTAGTGTGGTAGGTGAGGAGACTCACTGGGAGGCAAGCAGACTGGCTTTTGGGGGATCCTTATTGGAAATCAGATTCAACAGGATACCTCAAGGTCCCCAGGAAGCAGTGTTGGGGATGTCAAACAGAGGACTATATTCTAGTTTTATATTACAGTACTGAATTTTGACTTTAGGAATTTTAATAAATATATATATATATATACATATATATGTGTTATGTGTTTGTGTGTATGTATATATATATATATATATATTAACTACATTCTTCACAATCCGTTTATGATTCACTTGGACTTTCTGCAGTGTGCTTAAGAATCCATCATCCTTCTTTTTCTGTTTTGAAAAATCTAATCATTTTACCCTAGGATAAAACTTTATGTTGCCATACATAATTCGTATCTTAAAAAGTCATCTTTTATTTCCCTTATCAATATCATGACAAAGCAACATAACAAATTTATCAAATCATCCAAAATAAAACTGAGTCCAAACTACATTTGTAACCTAGTGTAACAAATTAATATTACCTGACCATACATTATTAATTATGTCTGTTGCCAGTCCCAGACAGATTTTATTGTTGCTTGGATTTCTTTAAAAACCTTTCTTACACATTTTTCTCTTGGCGTCTCATGACTCTGGGCGTTACAGAATGTGACATTCTTGCAAGAGTTGATTACAAATCTTCCAGCAACCTTGACTAGTAAAACCATATCAACACAGGCAAAAGCAGAAGAAAGATAAACTACACAGAGAGCCAAAAATCTGCCCATGCTAACCCTGTTATCACAGTTTCAGATACAAAAGACATCTGCTTGAAAGAACCGGGAGAGGTTGTAAAGTATTTGTGTCAAGGAGAAGTGAAGAGATTGTGCCCAGTACTGCAGACTGGACAAGAGACTTGCTGTTTGAGCCAGAGCTGACAGATTATCCCCAGAGCATTTGTATTTCAAACAGGTCAGACATGAGGAAGGAGACTTGTAGCCAAATGGTACTGAGGTCCCCCTGAGATCAAATGTCACTTCATTTCATTCCCCAAATCATTTTTAAATGTTTTTAAATTTTAACTTTATTTTTAACTTCACCTTTTCCCTATCTTTCCCCAATCCTGTATACCCTCCTTTCTTGATTCGTCTTGAGATCATGGTCTCTTTTATATATATACATACAGAGAGAGGGGGAGAGAGAGAGGGAGAGAGGGAGGGAGGAAGAGAGGAAAAGAGAGAGAAATAATAAAAAGAAATACACCCCGATTCAGTGATTTTAGTGTTGTGTGTCTATGAGTGCAGGGCTGACCACTTGGAATTGGATAATGCATTCAGGAGCTGAATGTAGCTCTTTTTCTACTTATGGAATTCCAGAAATCTCACCCTTCCATGTTAGCATGTCTATTGGTGGTGTACTTTTTCTAGTCCTGTTTAGGTAGTCATATTTTTAGTGTGTCTTGAGTTACATTTCCATCATTTCTATAGGGACAATTTCACAGATTTCCCGAATTTCTGTCTCTTTCAACTTTTCATCCCGTCCTCCATGATGTTCCCTCAGCCTTGAGTGCCAGAGTTGTGTTGTAGATGTATTAGTTGGGACTGGGCAACACAAGGTAATTTTTTCTATACATTACATTTTTGACCGTGTGTGTGTGTGTGTGTGTGTGTGTGTGTGTGTGTGTTTCCTATTAATGATCTTCATCTTTGATTAAGAGTGTGAGCTACACTTATGGGTTTAATGATAAATATTTAAAATGCAGTTATGAATTATACTGATTTAGTAAAATGGCAATAATAGGTTCTATTCTAATATTTATGATCTCACTTGTCCCAAGTAGTTGACTAGGTTTCCAGTACGTGGC